TACCAGTTTTAACCGCTTTACAGAAAAGAAGCTCATTCTACTGAGCGTCACTAAACAGGACATCTGTTTCTGATTGTGCTAATGATAGCACACGTATACCACAGCAGCAGTTTACTTTCATGTTAAAGTGACCTCAAGAAGATCCACGTTTTCATTTTTCTTTTGTCTGGATTGGTGAAAACTATTCCATTAACCCATATCAGCTCAACATTGTACAGGCCAACTCTGCCTTATGATCATACTTTGCACTGTTAGCTTTTTACTGTGCACGTGAAAACGATTTAATTTTTACAATCTAAAGATTAGCAGGCGTCATTACTTGTACAATTATCTCAATATTAATAGCCATTAAAATTTATATTTCTAAGGGTTTTCGATTATAAATAACATGTGCTAATTAACTGAAACTGTTTTCATGCATATTATTACGGGCTGCACGTCAAAAGTGATATATTCAATGATTAACTATCACTGTGCAATGTAATTTCCTTAAAATATTTAAGGTGTCATAAAGTTAGGTTAACTTTTCAAATGCCTAAGGAATTTACCGAATCAATTGCCAGAGGACTCAGTTACGTTCACGAAGGTAGCACAGAGAATTTGCGAATACCATTTCAAAAGTTGCAAATCACGAGAATATAATGATGGTATTCTAGACGCGCTACTCCCGTGCCATTACAAAGAACGAAGCTACATGCATTTCTCGAGAAGCGTCACTAGTGTTCTTTTTAAAGCAGTGGTCTTCCTGATACACGCACTATACATAACATATGCAGTCCTGGGCGTACTTGTCCTCTATACCATGACTGTCATCCGGTGTTTTCATGGTATTCTCCGCTACCTTGCTCAAGTTATCCCTCGCTATAGCGTTCGAGATATCTGGCTTAATGATTAGCTTCCTAAACACAATAAATGTGAAAAAAGCTCTTCCGCTCCAAAGCAACTTGATCCAACTAATGACGCACCCGAAAATGTTGCGGCCATACGCTAAACCGCTAAAAAAGCAATGAATATAGTGGAGACATCACCCAGTAACTTAAAAAACATGTCGAAAGCCCGTCGTAAGTATTTCCATCCATCCACATTCTCGAATGATAGAATTTATGTAAACCATATTCAGTTTCAAGGCATGAGCTGTTACATCTGCCCCATCAGCTTCTCACACATAATCGGACCGCAAAAGTTTAGGAGCTTCAACTACCCAAACGAATGAAAAATCTTCGGTAGTTCTTAACTGATAGTGCTCTGGCAAAAACGTTAGCAGCTTATACGACACCCTTTTGTGACATTCTAAAAGTAGGAGTGAATCGCTGGCTTTTGTGTTTCCTCTCTACCATAACTGCACTCCACGATGGCCCGGTTTCTTCCTAGTTTCTACTCCTCAAGGACTGATGGCCTGTGCTGGGAATGGAATTCGGCATTCACTGAAATAAGTTTCATCGATGTATGATTTTTATAAGTCCTATAAATATATACAATGAGGCATCAAGGGATATTCAAGAGCACATAAAACGCACCTTGCTGTTTGTGGGTTTTGTTGTAGCAGTAGAAGCACAGGTTCCGCAAACAAATACAGTGAAATGCACGGGATACAGCAGAAGGTGATGATGACGATGGCTGAAACAAAAACGTGAACTTGGATTATTCAGTGCCAGGAGCAGTTTGAATGCTCATACGGCAGTATGAGTTCCAACAGGCGAATGTTCGGTTTGACGAAACAGAGTTGCGCATTCTTTAATGGTAAAGCTGGGAATAGGATTGACTCCTGTGATCTTAACCAATGGCTACAATGTTCCTCAATATTTTCAGTGTTTTCTTCAACGTCAATTTTATGACCAACTGTCTCTAAATGAGATAGAATTTACACATTGGAGGGGAATAAAATGAAGTTTTAATATTTGCGGTCTTTCCAACTATAACTGCTATATATGCGTTTATTTTTACCTCTCTGCAGCTGAATGCGCAGCATGTTTTGTTCATTACTTCCGTACGTCTGGAAAGAAAAGCAGCACAATGATGTCGTTAGTAAGGCAATAGGAGTATTAACGTAAAGAAGGCTAGCCATTTCTATACCGTTAGTTGGTATGTTTATATAATTATTCATCATTCGTGTTTTCCACACACTCCATGACGAATGATTCGTAGACTGCTATACTCGCTCAGGTTTCCCATAGGTTAGTTTATGTCCTATTACATACCTAAGCAACGAATAAACTTTAGAAGAACCGCCAAAACGCCGTTGTTTCCTTAGACGCTGGTTGGATAATACGTCCAATAACCCTCAGCTACTCAAATAGAAGTTTGCGCAAAAGTTTGTGGCTTTTGGTTTGGGAATCAGCTAGAGTTTTTATTGCTTAAACAGCAAGTGAAATTTTGCAAGTGGGGTTTTTTGGTTTCGAAATGTAAGTAAACGTCGTAAGTAGATAGACTAACAATTAGCTTGTAATCATCTTGCTGTGTACCATTACAATAGTCCATTATCTGTTGACTAAGATATATCCTCCTACGATGGCTCATACTAGTCTAAGGAACCTAAGGAATTGTGAAAAATGCGATCGAAATTTTAATAAAAGATAGACTGCAAACATTTGCTGAGTATACAATGGGGCTGTTGCTCATTCGGTTACAAGAAAACTGCCAGCTAAACTGTAAATAAAGTACGCAGCTTCTTTCTAACTTTTGTCAGGTTTAAACAAAGCAGGTTAATAGTTAAATGAATAATAATGCATAGGGAAATGGTTTTCATTACGGTTGAAATGTCTTTTTCAGCAAAGAAGTAACCATCATTGTTTGTTCAAATTCACCAACTAGCCAACTGCCAACTCCAACCCAGAATGCATTTATTAACTTTCCGTTTCCTGTAAATCGATTATGCTTTCCAAATGTACACCTCAACAATTAGACCTTGGAAGTTAGACTGCATGTAAAACCAAGAGAACTTGGATATCGGTACAATTTCTGGAGTGAAAAATCACAGAAATTATAAACAATTTTCCATAATTTATCTAGAACCGGCAAACAATAACACATTCGATGTAACCTTACCTGAGAAAACAAAGTATCAGCGGCCGTCAATAAACCGATTACAACAGCCAGACAAGTGACGTTGAACACTGAGTTCGCCAACCCTACGGTGGCTAGTGCATGTTTGCCAAGCAATCCACATGACACGGCACTTATCGGTCCGGAAAGAAAAGTCATAAGCGCCGTCATTGTCTGCAGAAAAAATGTTGGAGAGCTGTCCGTGATCAAGCTTTAATTATTTGGAGCTGTGTTTCAGAGTTTTGTCAAATGACAAGTCCCTATAAGTTGTAGACCACTGAACAGCTCAGGGCAAATTACCGTTATATAAAATATTTGGGAGAAGTAGAAACTGGTAGATATACACGTTATATCATTTTTTGTTCCCAAGAGCTGTCATAGACAAGTAGTTTTCGGCTCGGCTGTAGGAACAGCTGGTTAGCTAATCCTGTGTCCAAAGCAGCCAGCTGTTGTTTGCCAGGCTTTCGGAACACTAGATTGCCTAAAGTAACAGCCTCCTACAACAAAAGAATGGAAGAGAAAATACGAATCCAGACAACTAAAACCATTACGGCTATATTTGTTTGGCGATTGGTTGCAAAATGGTTTTATTTGTCAGGAAATTTAGTGCTCAAGTTAAGGTGTTCTAAGTAACAAAATGAAAGTAGGAGCGCTCAACTTATTAAACCGTGCAAATTTAACTACATTGTGTGTTTACTTGGGAGGAAATTCGGAATTGTGCGTGCTTAGACCACTTTCAAAACGACTAGTCCATCATTCTGAGTATGTTCCTGTACGCTACAGACGTCTTGCCATATTTGTCCAAATAGTACTGTCATAAAATACTAAAAATTGATCAGTAATCTGTCTTTGTATGTCACAGTGCCATCAAAACTTTAGCAAAAGCTTTTTAGAGACGCCTATAACACCAAAGAACCAACCGCGCCAAATATTTTCTGTGCTGCACTTTTACTTATGTTCTATAACAAGCAGCCGCGGTGCGATTGTTACCGATAAAACACGATATGCATCAGATCTAATTCTGAAGGAATAGATGCATTTGTGTATAGCAGAGCTCTTCCTTAGCTATTGTTAATCACTGATAGGTCGAATTCAGTAAGCTCTCCATGAATCGGTACACCACTTTCTGGAGAGGAATTGTAACGTTTCATCAGTAATTATTGACTTGTCCAGCAGGAAACATAATATCTCGCCGACAAACACGAGACTTTACGTCATTTAATTGAATATCTTTTTAAACAAGAGCCCTTAGACTAGGCACTATAATGCTCATAATCTTAGAGGAAACTCTTACATTAAGAGGATAGTATGTACAAAAAGGACTGCTTCTGCGTCTACGTTGTTAATGCTTTGCTTCCTTTCATTCACATTTAGGTGCAAGCTGCATCGGATTCATTAACACTCCAATAAATGATATACCTGCAGTTACACACAACGCAGTGACATTGTGTGCATTTGATTAAGCAACTTAAGTAAGAAGTTCTTACCACAATATCAAACATAGGTGCAAACAAAGTCCCATAAACCTAGCACGACATCCGCTAGGAGTGTGTTATATCCTTTCCTGTAACGCGGATATACTCACATACGGGTTTGTGTTACGGAAAGTTAGCTGCTGTTTGCAAGGTTGCAACTGGCTAAATAGCGAAGATGCCGTTGCAGACAAATAGTAGTCCTAACCAACTCGAAAACGAATTCTATTCAGTCATTTGATCTAGGCAATTATGTTACTACAATTTTCATCATTCTTCACATCCTCCATCAACCACAAATGAACATGCCGTACCAAATGAATACTAAGAGGAAGAGTAATAAGAATTTTATCTCTGGACTGTGCGAATAATCCTGAGATGCAAATTCAGCTAAAATATGTATGACCTTATAATGAAGAATCATGTTGAACAACAATTTGTGCGAATGGAATGTGCCGCGCAATCTCAATGTGAACCGTGAATCAAAATAAAGTGAACCCAGGTCAATTCGATTAACAGGAATGTAAATTAATCACTAGGAGGCTGTGTGTTGGCCGTCATAAAACACTGCAAAACATAATGCGACTCTATCTTGAGTGTTACCCGCTCGAAAACACTGCACTAATGTGAAGCGTTTCCATGTTGTTAAGTCTCATCAGATAAAGATAGCAGGCATCGAACTAAGGACCATCGGGATGTTACTTGAGACCGCTACCCCTAAGCCACCGGGTCACACGCAACACTTGACACAACGGTTTAATGAACGAGGTTGAGGATCATTTTGAAGTGCACGTTGTGTGGATGGATTGCGACGTGCAATTTCAATGTTGCCTGCGATTCCCATTAAAGTGAACCTTGGTCTTTCGATCACGGGGGTCATAGCTGATGCAAATAGAAATTGGGTGTTGCCCACTCGAAAACACTGCACTACTATGACGCGTTTCCATGCTAGTACATCTCATCAGATAGAGTTAGCAGGCATGGAACCCGGGATAATTAGGGTGTTACTTGTGACCGCTACCCCTAAACCACCGGGTCACAGGCAACGCTTGGCGCAAAGGTTTAATGAACGAGGTTGAGGATCATATTGAACTACACGTTTTGCAATTGGGATGCGCCACGTATTCTCCATGTGAACCGCGGTTCACAATAAATTGTACCTATGTCAATTCGAGCAACAGGCCGTATGTTACGTAGCAGGAAACTTTGTGTTTACCATCAGAAACCACCGCGTATCTAATGCGTTTCTTCTTTATTTGATCTAGTCATGTGACGAGAGCAGGCTTCGAAACCAAGAGCATTTAGATTTAGCCGGGCGACAAACACACAATTTCCCAAAACAGATTTTCTTATCATCAATATTTCGCTGCTGAAATAGACCTTCAATAACATTTGTTTAACTGGGAAAACTCTGATATTCTCACTGCCCACTCATGCTTCCTATTTGGTTCAAGCCCCTAACCATCTCTTTCCAGACGCTAATTAGAAAACCTAGAATCTCTGACTTCTCTGAGATTATGACGCATTTCTAGTTATGTGTTGTATTATTCATATACGAAAGCCTTATGTCCTACGGGACACACCTAAACACTTATTCACAAATAGTCACAATTCATCTTACATAAATAGTGCTATTATATGCCATGAACTGTGTAAATTGAACTTGTAGAGTTTTATCATGTGCATAACAAAACCTTAGTTAGCTTTATCTTATTTATTTTCTTCAACATATTTAGGCTATTCAGTCAAAGTTAACACCTTTAACAAAGCGGAAACTAGAAATATCCGAACAAGTGCAGATCAACTAAACACAGTGCCAGTTAAATTCATCCACTGAGCGTAAGCAGATAGCAAGATATTGGGAGAATATATTTGTCAAGCTTAGCATAACCAGTTAAAAATGACGGAGGCTTGCCACAACGTGACCCAGTCGTATAAATAACTCACGTGTGTAAATGCTCAGAAACGCTAATTCGGTCTGATAAACTCACCAACCGCGAATTTTCTTAAGATTTTTTTCTAGTCAAGCCCACGGTTTCACAGAATGCGGCCAGCAATAGCTCCCGCATGGCCTTGAGTGTTAGCTATGCTTCATAGTCTCAATGAACTAGAGCGAGTGGATTATTTGGGTCAAAAGGTTGTTAATTGACAATGACAAAATGTAACACAGACGTGGAAACGATTTTGATTGTACATCAGCAGATTAGCTGTGATGCTAGGAAAGATATTATCCGGTGCTGTAGCTTTAAGATTTCATTACAGCCAGCCGTACTATTTGGCCACAGAAGTGCTTGGAACGCCAAACCGGAGAAATAATACATCCATACTAAGTGCGTAATGTTAAATCTTTCCACATTGCTTTGGTCTTTTATTTAATCTGCAAATGTTTTATAAAAACCTAGTCAAATATATATTTGGGTTTGCCACACAAACTTCGAAAATGTTTTGTTTGTACTCCTAGTACTTTCGGAACCGTTACTCGGGAGCGCTGGAATGGTGTGTATCAAAAAATTTTACTTAGTGACACGGTATTCCGGATTAAATTCTCAAGAAGTTGCTGATGGCAAGGTGGAATGACACGTGCACAAAATTGTTTCATTCATTCTCCAGGTCTCTAAATGAAAGATAAATTATAGAAAATTTACGTTGCTACCTCTTACGAGATGTTTTATGGAATCAATGCTTTGGCGCGTCTACATTGGTGGTCTGTGCAAGATAACACCGAAGCTAGAACAAGTCCGATTAGGATGAACGTACTATTAGGTTTTAAAATGGTCAAAGAACAAAGTCAATTATTTAACTGCGAATAAAGAACCTTGAGCTTTGTAACATTTGCTCGAGCATCTATTCTATAAATGCCTTAAAGTAGTCTATGTATGCGGTATAAACACTTACAATATTATAGATATATTCTAGATGAGTTTATGTAACTCACACGCACGGTAGATATTGCAAAAGTGCCCATGCAAGGCAATGTAATGCAAATCCGACACATTAGTATCGCGTAGAAGACCTAGCCTCCAACTATTGCACAAATTTGCATGCTATACCAACACCTATTTGATAGTCCCCTGAACCGCTACATGAGCATCATATAATCATGTAAGCCAGCTATGACGCTACGATTAATCTTCGCATCTCTGAGGAGCGCTACCACATCCCGTGTGGCTGAGTGCGAGTTTTAGGGCAGATTCGGTTTACTTCAGCTAAAATCTAGATTACGTAGGCCACTGTTATCATTCATAACCTAGTGGTGTGATTCGGTTACGCCACACTGCGAGACTGTTTATGTTCATCACTAGTGGTTCGAATAAATTGCATCCGAAAAGAAGGAAGCATGTGACAGGTTTTAAGTGGACACATTGTAATCATATCGTTTAACCAAGCCGCAATAAAGCTACATCCAAGCTTGATTTTCAATTTTCCCGGTTGTATTCTCATGTTTACCGTGATTATAGTCCGAGTAGTTGCATGCATGAACTCAAATTTGCATTTGTATCCTTGCATGTCAGTTGGAATCCTCGCAATGACTGCGTGAAAATATTCAATATAAAATCATCCAATCTCTAGGCCGAAAACGGAATTGAAGGCCCCGATTTTTAGGTGGTGATAGAAGAGTTGGCCACAGACTAGTGTACCAAAAACAAATCATAATGCCAACTTGTTCCACAATGAAAACCACACCATTTTTTCAACGAT